AACCTCCTCTATTGATAATTCAAAAATAATTTTTACGCCTCTTTTGGATCGTAGCATATCGAAAAATACCCTGTAATTTTCACATTTTTGAGGGTAAGCATTCAAACTTTGCAGCTAGAGTACCGTTATCACGTTCTAAGAACTGACCAAAAATGAGGTGTCTACGCCCAGTAGGGGCGTGGCAAATCGGGAAAAACTGTATTTTCTACAGTATTAGAGCGAAAGTTAACTACTAAATTGTTGATGTCAGTATGCTTGAACGCATCGATTTAAAAAGATACAAGAGCTAGAGTCTCAATTTTGTTTGTAAAATGTCCGTGTGGTCCGTGTCCGCGAGGTATACGTGGAATTTTTCTTTAAAAATCGATAAGTTGTTCCGTTATTTTTTTATCGATAAAAAACCTTATCGAAAATCAGTTATAAAATCATATCTCCTACAACTTTTAATTTAAAGTCTTCAAATTTTTAATGTAGATTTATATGAATTTTATACAACTTCGGTTTTTGTTAAAATTTTCCCCCCACCCTTATATCCATCCCCTCACCCACATATTTGTAAAAGGCGTATTTTAAATACTAGAGACTTGTGCTTTGGCAAATGCATGTATATCCATAATCATGATCTGAAAGTATTATGAAGATCGTATGTTATTGAACAATTAAATTCTCATAGGTGTGTGTTTAGGCGTGGTTGCTTGTATGCGTGTGTGTTTGTCTATGTCTTGTGTAAGTAGAAAGACGTGTAAAATGATTGAAATTGCTATTGCTTGAAGGGTTCAGGGGATCTCGTAGTCGAGCAGTCTAGGCTAGAGGTTTCTTAATTGTTTAAACAAACAAGTAAGAACGTTGCAGTCGGACGATACCGATTGCAGAAGAGTCATTCACAGCCCAAACGCTGTCAACCAGAGTATATAGTGCAATTTTCAAGTCTAGTGCGCAACAAAAAACAGGGCATGATCGTATTAAAATTGGAAAACCATCGATAGCTATTGCTATGATCATTGCATCATTGCATTAAAAATACATACATTTGTTTACACAATTTTGACTTTTAATAATATATATTTATATCCATATATGGGATACCGGCTTCAAGCTAGCAGCAGATCAGCGCGATTTTCCTATACATGTGCACACACTCATCGTCTATTCTATACGTACAGACAGAAGCGCGCCTTTTCGCACATTCTTAGAATTTCGATTGAATTCTGGACTTTCCAGCCGTTACTGTAGTTTTGTCTGATGACGCTCTCTTAATAAGCTATTCTATTTTAGCAACTGACTGCTCGAACAAAGCAGTGGCGCGGGTGCTAAGGGCGACGCAAGTAATGTTAGAGTAGGGGAGTTTCGAATCTTTACTGTTATTTTTTTTTTCATACATATTTCGTTTTTTATAAAATAGATATTTTATTGGGAAGGTGCGAGCTTGAATGAATGGCACTAAATACTTTTCTTTTTCGCAGTCGAATAATTTTATAAGTTTAAATTTTTTTCTTCTTAAATAGCCCTCAAATAGATATACGCAAATACATACATATGTATATATGTATATATGTATATATGTAAGTCTACACGCATAGCATCAAGATATATCTCCGCCTATTGGGGGCGTATATATCTCCGCCTATTGGGGGCGTGGCAAATCGTATAAATCTGTATCTTCAAGAGTTTTACAGCTGGAGCGCTGAAATTTTGCACGTCAGCTAATGTTATGATTCTATAAAGTCTAAAGAGAAAATTATAAATCTAGGCCCATTAGGGACGTGGCAAATCGGACCTGAAGATATAGTGATTTTTTAAATTCTGCTATATTTTGGACACTATTGAATTTTGTATATATACTCGGGCTGATCACCCAAGACCAAAAAGCTTTGTCGGATATATGTCCGCCCCCAGGGGGCGTGGCAAACCGCAAAAGTTGATATCTCCTAAAGTATTTAGATAGTTAAGCTACTGGTATCTTCCTCTATCGATGCCCCAAAAAGAATTTTTACGCTTCTTTAGGGGGTGGCATATCGAAAAATACCCTGTAATTTTCATATTTTTTGAGGGTAAGCATTCAAACTTTGTTAGTTAGGGTACTGTTATCACGTTCTAAGAACTGACAAAAAATGAGGTGTCTACTCCCAGTGGGGGCGTGGTAACTCGGAAAAAACTTTATTTTCTACAGTATTATAGCGAAACTTAACTACTAAATTGTTGATGAGATGTGAATGAGTACTCCGCAGTCGGTAACGCCCGACTGCAACGTTCTTATTTGTTTTTAAGCATTCATACATTCATACTTAATACATTCATACTTCTTCAAGAACATTCTTTGAATCACATCAGCTGTTAGTTTGGTTTAGTTTTGTTTGATGGCGCTGCAGCAGTGAATCTATTTGAGTTTTGCCAGCGCCACTAGCAGGAGTGGGGTGGCGTAGTGTGTTAGCTGCATGACGCTCGATTGAGAAGTCGCGGTTCGAATCCCGATCGGTGCAACTGATGTTAATTTTATTAATTGTTTCAAAATATTTTTATATTTTCATAAATGAGTTTTCTATTTAATTTATATTTTTAAATACACCGATTTTGAAATTTTAACCATACTAAATGTGCGTTTTTAAAAGTTTGGTTATTCTAGCAGATTCTTAGAATCACATAAGCAGTTAGTTTGGTTTAGTTTTGGTAGATGGCGCTGCAGCAGTGAATCTATTTGAGTTTTCCAGTGCACCTTTCAGAAGTGAGGTGGCGAGTGTGTTAGCTGCATGACGCTCGATTGAGCGTCGAGCACTCTCGACTAGAGTTTTCTTACTTGTTAATTTTATAAAAATGTTTCCTTCCGTACTATCAATGCCTATTAAGCCTATTTATGTGTACAAATACATAAATAGATGGCTGACGCAAATAAATGCCACAATATGGGCACTATAAATGCCGATTGCCAAGCCCCTAGTGGCCGTAGACTCCTCATTTTTGGCCAGTTCTTTGAACGAGCAACCGGTAACCTAAATGCAAAATTTGAATTCTTACACTCAAAAAATGTGAAAATTACAGGGTATTTTTCGATATGCCACGCCCCTAAAGAGGCATAAAAATTATTTTTGGGGCATCGATAGAGGAGGCTACCAGTAACTAAACTATCCAAATTTGAAGCTTCTAGCTCTACCATAGCTCGTTGGACGTGGGTGGTCAACCCGCGTATATATATCAAATTTCAGGTCTCTAGCATCAATAGTGTGCAAAATATAGCCGAATTCGAAAAATCGTAGATATATATTTTTTCACCCATCTTTATAGAATTAAAACATCAGCTTAGGTGCAAAATTTCAGCATTCTAGGTTTATAACTTTAGGAGATACAGTTTTGTCCGATTTGCCACGCCCCCAATGGGCGGAGATGTATCCGCCATAGCTCGTGATCTTGGGTGGTCGACGCTGACCTACGACGCGGACATACCTATCAGCCTTACCATATCAGCCTTCTAGCTCGTCAACAAACATGATTTCTGGTATATCGGAAAATGCATTTTCCGATTTGCCACGCCCCTAGTGGGCGGATCGGGATCGGGAATCGGAGATATACACGAGTATGTGTTCCAAATTTCTTTAGCTTCAATAGCGCCGAAATAGATTGCATTCATACGGACAGACGGACAGACTGACAGACGGACGGACAGCAAGACGGACATTGCACAAAACCAATATACTCTTTCACTTCGAATTACGAAATTGAAACTTTAACCAGAATAAATATGCGTTTTTTTTTAGTTTGCTTCAGGGTAGAATCTAGTCGAGCACTTTAGACTAGAGTTTTCTTACTTGTTATTATTAACCTACGTGCTGTTCATTACTGCTCCCATTTCGTAATCGATTGTATAATATTAGTATTTTAAGAAAATAAACACTGAAGCAATGCAGAATAGCGGCAAATGAAAAAAACGACCTGTAATATTTTTCATCACCAAAGATAGCTCAAAATTTATATCCTTAGCTAAAATTGACCATGGACCGAAAAGGATGAAATTCGTCTTTGGAGCAACATAAATAATAGTAAATATAGATTAGTTAATGCAACCCTGCGTGAGAACAAGGGCCCAAAGTCAAACATGTGTTCAAAACTTTCTTTACATTTACAAGCTTCTAAAATTTGTGGTGGCTTTTTTTAGACGAAGTAATTATTCATACCGAGTCAGGTGTGCTTGATATAAATTCTAGTTTAGAATTGTGTAGTATGTGTTCAAAGTTGTATATGTGTCTTATGTTGTAGTATATATTTTTCTTAAAAACTAGACCCGAGTTCACGTGAATTATGGAGTAGAACTAATATGGGGCCACTCCCGGGCAAAAAGTCAATATGTGAAGTTGTGACACGAAAAATAAGAAAGCTCTAGTCGAGACGGCTCGACTACGAGATCCCTTGGAGCAACTGATATTTCAATACTGATTCGCAAATGCACAAACACAGGGATACGCACGCGCGCCTAAACACGCATTGGCTGCAGTGTGGGTTTACTATGGTAACTTCATTGTTCATTGTCTCTAGTATTTGAAGTACGTGGGGTGAGGGGGTGAATATAGGAGTGGGGTGTTTATTTTAGCAATAATAGAGATTCTATATATTACGATTTTTAAAGCAAAACTCTATATGCGTATGGTACACACGAACCTAGGAAAAAAAATTTCAAGTCTCTAGCTCATATCTTCTGAGATCCACGCGTTCAAACATACGGACAGACGGACGGACAGGGCTAAATCAACTCAGCTCGTCGCCCTGATCAAGAATATATATACTTTACGCCTCCTTCTGCCTGTTACATACATTTAACCAAACCATTATACCCTGATTTCCCATTGAAAATGGGCTCAGGGTATAAAAAGGGCCACTTGACTAAACATCATGAAAATGTACCCTTTCAGAGAGTGAAAGGGTGATTAGTATGTTAGTAGTTCAAATCTTGAATTCGATAAAAGTGGATTTATTTAACAACTTACACTTCGTTATGAATATGTTTCTTTCAGATATTACTTTTCATTTTTGAAAGAAAAACTGGAAGTTCTGGATGGAAAACTAAGGCAGTATGCTCAGTGGTGTTTCGATAATTGTAAATGTACAAAAGTATCGACGCGATTACAACCACCTTCAAGTGTAGAAGTTGCTGTAAGTATTAAGAAAACTCTTTCCCCCACTTCTGTACTAACATCGTCACCAAATTCGCTTGCTCCTCCCTCACCTTGTGTTTTGTTTTGTCTACACCACCTGGTCACGAATCTGTTGTTTCTCCTGTTGATGCTGCTAAAGAAACTCAAGTCCCTGTTCAAAAATTGCATTCTTCAATTGTTGTTCAAACAAAGAGTGACAATAGGTCAGCCCCTTTCGGCATTACCCTGAACCCATTAAAAATGGGAAATCAGGCAGAAGGATGCATGGCGTACCCCACAAATTATATATCGACGAGCTGAGTCGATTTAGCTCTGTTCGTCTGTCTGTCTGTCCGTCTGTTCGTAAGTTCGTAAGAGCTAGAGATTTTAATTTTTTTTTGAATGACCGTATATACAGCGCGGATGTCAAGTTTGCCTTTAAAATTCGATAAACCATCCCTTTATGTTTTTATCGAATAAAAACATTCAGGTTCAAGTCAGATGCTAGTATAGCTAATTGTGAATTATGTTTTTTTTTTTTTATTTTTCAAATATTCAATAGAATATGTAGATCATATGCTGAAAGTTTCATTAAATTCCGGTAAAAAATATTCAAATGTTTTGTAATTTAATAAACGCACGTGCAGCACCCCAAACCACTATTAATTTGAACAATAAAACACTATATTATCAATAATACAAAAGATGACACATACAAATGCATTTCGTTTTAAAAAGAATTTTATTCTCTTCTATTTATAAAAACAAAACAACAATATGAGTAATTTATTCAAATGGATGACTTAAGAGATAATAAAAAATTAGGACTATTAATTCGAACGCTGCGTATGCTTAACTTTATCTCAAAACAAAAGCAACCAATGTAACAGAATCACTTTTTAGTTATAGTCTGCTAATAATATAGCAAAACAGAATGCAAAAATTTTAAAATTGGTGCAGATCAGTCAAAGTTTAGCAACGATGGTAAGTGGTAAGCCTATTTGCAATGAACTCAGAGTATTCATTAGAGATTATTTTAAATCTGGGATGACACTTACGGAGATTTGCAAGCAATTAAATGTGTCTAGATCGTCTGTGCATGGGGTGATCTGTAAATTACAAAATTTTCGTATCGATAAACTGTTGATACACAGTAAATCTTAAGTCTCTAGGTCTAAAAGTGTTCAAATTAGGCTGAAAAACAAAATCAATTTTTCGATTATTCTCGATAAAAAAGTCAAAAGAATGGGTCATGTTGACCTCTTCTCCAGAAATTTTTCTCATGCATTTGTGATTATCTTATGGCTGAATAATAATAATTATTATTATTATTGTGAATAAGTCGCAATTTTTGAAATAATAGTAGGAATAGTTTGTAAGATTGCCAAGATTTAAATTTTGATGTGAATGAGATTTTTTATTTTCTTTGTATTTTAATTTGATAAATGAATATAGGAAAAGAAAGTCTTAGAGGGGAAGGAGATGTGAAATTGAAGGCGTTGAAAAACGCCAGTAGAGAGAAGTGAAAGTAGTAGAACCTAATATGTGAGATACATTGGTGGATATCAGACACTATACCTGAATGTCTTACTGATAGCCGTGTGTCTGATCTGTTGCTATTAGGGACACGAGTTAATGTGTTATCCTATTGAGTCGCTGGTAGTCACTGACAGTGTGACGTTGGGTGTGTTGTCCTGATGATCTAAGTAATCTCCAGTAAGAGTAGTTAGCTAGTATAAAGTCTTTTTCTATAATTTTTATTTTGGAAACTCAGTTTGTTGTATTTGTTAATACTTTGTAATACACGAGATTAAAAAAAAAAAAAAAAAAAAAAATAATATTAAAAGTTTGTAGAGCAAATGTACAAGTTAAAAGTACTATGAGCTATCAGTTGAATTAGAGGGTCGCGATGATGATATGAATGATTGAAAGTATTGAGAAACTGTTGAAAGAGGCAGTAATGTTTTGAAAAGCTGTTGCAAGAGACAGTAACTGAATGGAAGAAAAATGATTGAAAGAGACAGTAATGAGCTGAATGGAAGAGAAATGGTTGAAAGAGTCAGCAATGAAATGATTGAAGGTGAAATGATTGAACAAGGCAGAAATGAAATGAGTGAATGTAGAACGGTTGAAAGAGACAGTATTCTTGAAGGGCTGATAAGAAAAGAGAAGAATTTGTCATACTGCACAAATAAAGATGAAATGTTTTGATGATGGCGCTTGGCACATAAGATAATTTGATGTAGATCAGTTGGAACTATGAGACTGTAAAAGAAGTTGAATTAAGTTAAAGAATATGAATTATGTTAGTTCAAGACTGAAACTCAAACCTGAAGATAAGATTCTGTATGGAAAATAGTTGTTATCAACAAATGTTTGAAAAAAAACGAGAATGAAATATGGTTGATAATTTTGGAACAAATTGATTTATTGAGTAAAGTTTTTTTTTTGTAAGAGTTACACGGGGCCGTGATAAGGTCAGGATGGCCGTGTCGAAGCGCAAGTAGAATCAATAAATTGGCGCGCACTGTAATTGTGCTTTCTACCTACTTGCCTATTTCCCTTTTTGCATGCCTTCGTACTTGTGCGTGTGTGTTCGATTCCCTTGAACAAAGAATGCGAGTACTATGACAGGGTATGGTGATTGTTTTGGTCTCACAAGAGCGCAGCATGCATAGTGAAGTTGTTAAGAGTATTTAGAGTGCAGCATGTGAATGCGTATGGTTTTGCTATTTTGTGTGTTTCGCGACTGGACGTATCGTGGTTGGTCGGTTATGTTTTCTAGGCTGGAAGTCAAGTGTGGTTCGGTGGTAGGCACAAGAAATTAGTGAGACAAAGAATTCACAATCGTTGAGAAGTGGACGGTCACCGAAACTTGCTGCGCTAAGGTAAACTTTTTTTGTGCTTTGACATATATATGTATGTGAAAGCTTAACCGAATACGCATTGAGTGAAAGAGTGCACTCATATATGACTCAGGCAGAATATTCAGCTGAGCAAAAAAGAATTGAAGGAGTAAGATTTTGAGTTCGAGTACATGAGTTGATAAGTAGCCTAATTACAAAATTTGAATGCTTACGCTCCAAAAATGTGAAAATTACAGGGTATTTTTCGATATGTCACTCCCCTAAAGAGGCGTAAAAATTATTTTTGGGTAATCGATAGGGGAGGTTACTAGTAACTCAACTATCCAAATCTGAAGCTTCTAGCTATTATACTTTAGTAGGTACAAACTTTTGCGGTTTGTCACGCCACCTGTGGGCGGACATATATCCGTGGAAGCTTTTTGGTCTTGGGTGGTCAGCCCAAATATATATACAATTTGAGGTCTCTAGCATAAACAATGTCCAAAATATAGCAGAATTTAAAAAATGACTATATCTTCAGATCCAATTTGCCTCGCCCCTAATGGGCGCAGACATTTAGTTTTGGAGATACAGTTTTATCCGATTTGCCACGCCCCCAATGAGCGTAGATATATTCGCCATAGCTCGCCATTTCAGCTTTCCAGCTCTTCAACTAATATTATTTCTGGTGTATCGGAAAGTGCATTTTCCGATTTGCCACGCCCCTAGTGGGTGGATCGGGAAAATTTTAACACTATATAAATCGGAGATATACACGAGTATATGTTCCAAATTTCCCTAGCTTCAATAGCGCCGAAAAAAACAAATTCATTTTCGTGAATGAGTTATACTCATGACATCAAGCGGATGCGTTGAGAGCGGCGTATTTTAGGTGATAATTTTCTAATCACGTCCAGATGGCGAAGAGCATATATAATAAAGCTTTGAATATTTATATGATATTATCTCTGAATGGGAGTCTAGTAAAACTCTTTTTGCTTAATGCTCTTGTTACTACAAGTGAGCCATATTATATAGCTTCATATTTAAAAAGGTTTTAGTTGCTAATTTAAATTTATAAATGTTTTTATTTGTAGGCTATGAGACGACTCGGCACAATTGTCTGTCGATTTTTCTTTTTAGATTCTCGAACAAAGGCTATTGACGTTCATCCCACAGATACAGCTATCGATGCAGTACAGAAGCTTGCAGATAAACTTAATTTGGCATCAATTGAAGGTTGGGCAATATTCCAATCCCGTCCAGATGGCGAAGAGCATATAAAAAGCTTTGAATATTTATATGATATTATCTCTGAATGGGAGTCTAAGCAAAACTCGCCTAATAGCTACAAAAGACTTTCAAATGCTTCTACTTACGGGGAAAATAGATTTGTCTTTAAAAAAAGATTGTTCAAACCAACTCGAGAATTATCCCAGGATCCTGTTGAAGTTGGAATGTTGTACGCCCAAGCAGTATACAGTATTGTAAAGGTAAGATATTCATATTTCTTAAGTATTCAAACAAAATAAGAAAACTATTTTAATCGCAATTTCTTTGACTAATATTAATAATAATATATAATATAAATATGTACGGCATAAAAATTGAATAAGTTATTTCTTTTTTTTAGTGTGATGAATTTCCAGTAAGTGAAAAAGTTGCTTTACAATTAGCTGGTTTGCAAGCACAGGTAGCACTTGGGGATCCATCTAATCAGCCGAAGCCTGAGTATTATTGTGATATCAATAGCTTTTTACCAAACCGAATTTCTAAAACAAGAGAACAACAGTTTTGGATACCGATTCTTGCTCAAGCACATCGACAATATGGATCATCAAGAAATGAATTAACTGCTAAAGTGTTGTACTTAAGTTGTGTTATGCAATACCCACTTTACGGAACAACCATGTTTAACGTAATTTATAAAGGATATTGGAGTTTTGTCAATAATATAATTTTAGGAATCAATTGTGAAGGAGTTTTATTCATTCAACCTGAAGATAAAGTCATTATATATCAGTTTAAATATACAGATATAGAATCAATTTTAATAGATCCAAGTGATAGTTTTCTTACAATATCTCTCAATCGCACTACTAACCAATCGCCCAGACTTACGAAAGATGATAGCATTTTTCTGGATTTGCAAAAATGTTTTGTATTTGAAACAGTACAAAAGCATGAAATTGGCGCTCTTATTATTTCATATTACCCATCATTATCAAATTGGATATTAAGTAATTTTGATTGCACTAAAAAAGGAAAAGGAATCACCAATGAAGATAGAACAAGATTGTATCAAAATGTTATTATATGCCGCAGGCAATTAATAGACTTGAATATAGTGCGAAAACCTCATGAATCAGGCGGTTTCTTACGAAACACGCTGAGACGCCTATCTAAGCATCGTATCGAAAAATTACGAGCAGAACAAAGGACAAGTCCTCAAGACCACGGAGAAACATATAAAGGATTTTCTCATTCATTTTGGGCATTCAGTAAACAGCAACTCACTTTTTGTCTAAGCTCATTGACGGATCAAGATGAAACAACAATGGTTCAAATATTTGATTCAATATTACAATTTTCCGGCCTTGGAATATCAGGTAATTTTGAATTAAGTTAATTAATTCCCAACAAGTAAGAAAGTTCTAGTGAGACTGCTCGACTACGAGATCCTTCTGAACCCTTCGAGCAATAGCTACTTCATTCATTTTTCGCGGCTATCTGCTTACACAAGACTCACGCACACACACAAACATACACTTACGCATACACACACACACATATACACACACAGAAGCCTAAACACACATGGTGCGCTTACTATAAGAACTTAATTGTTAAATAACTTTTCTTGTGGTTGTACTTTCTTCATGATTATGATTATAACATGGATATGCATGTTTTTGCCAAAGAACAAGTCTTTAGTATTTGAAATACGCCTTTTACAAGGGTGAAGGTGAGGGGGTGGATATAGGGGTGGGGGGTAAATTTTAACAAAACTCGAAATTGTATAAGATACACATAAATCTACATTTAAAATTTGGAAACTATACCTTTAAAGGTGTAGGAGATATAATTAAATAACTAGCTCTCGATAAGGTTTTTAATCGATAATAAAATATTGGGGGTAGTTATCGATATTTAGAGAAAAACTCGATATGCGCGTTATATACACGGATCTAGGAAAAAAAATTGAAGTCTCTAGCTCTTATATCTAGTGAGATCTTTTGAGATCGACGCGTTCATACATACGGACGGACGGGCGGACGGACAGACAGGCAGACGGACAGGGCCAAATCAACTCAGCTCGTCGCCCTGATCAAGAATATATACTTTGTGGGATCTGCCACGCCTCCTTTTGCCTGTTACATACTTTTAACAAAACCATTAACCATTAAGCACGTGCTCTGCTAACTGCACAGTAAGTAGCGGCTGCGCCTGGTCTGCGCTGCAATGTGGGCAATATTATGAGAATTTATTTGTTGTATAATTTCTTTTGTAAACATACAATCTTAATGAAACTTTTAGAGCGTACTCACATAGTTAAAATGTGTGTACATTCCAAACCACCAGTCTCTAGTACTTGAAATGTGAACAAATTGGTGGCGAAGGGGGCGCGGTATCCAAAATCTGTAAATTACAAAATCTTTGTATCCAATAACTTTGTATACAACGCAAATTTGAAGTCTCCAGGTCTAAAAATGTGCAAATTAGGCTGAAAAAACCATTTTCCGATTATTCTCGATAAAAAAGTTATCGGATGAGTTATCGAAAAAATATGATAAACTTGTACTGCCTATGGTATACACGAGTATGCATGCCAATTTTCTCTAGCTCTTATATCTTCTGTGAACCTTTTGCTCATACGGACGGACAGAGGACAGAGATATACCAACTTAGCTCGTCGTCCTGATCAAGAATATATATACTTTATGGGGTCTGTGATGATTCAATGGGGCGTGGCATATCGAAAAATAACCTGTAATTTTCACATTTCTTTAGCGTCAGCATTCAAACTTCGCAGTTAGGTTATCTCGTTTTAAAAACTGACCGAAAATGAGGTGTCTACGCCCAGTATTGATTGAGTATTCCGCAGTGGAATGAGTTTATTGGTTTTGTGCAATATATATAAGTTAACGATCGTGACACCTTGTTACTCTAGTGGCGACCACGTCCAAGGGTTGGTTATACTTATCGTTATTTAGTTTCCCAGATTAGGATAAACCAAAAGAAAAACAATCTCGGAATAGTTCGATTTAAATCGTTATAATTTCGCAATGAATTGTTAGTATTTGTTAAAAGTATCGTCTCGTCGAGTTCAGCTTCCAGCCACCGACTGCCCTTCGTCAGGCGGCGGCTTCTCTTCCTTTTCGTTTTCCAGGACGACGTCGACGTCGCAGCAGCAGGGCGGCAACGGCCGCTGCCGAGACATGTTGGGAAGCAGAGGCGCCAAGTTGATGGTAGGGGAGAAGAGGAAGTGCTATGCATTGACTGGTGTTAGCTCCTCCCCCCTTAAGTATCTGCGTCCCGCAGATCAGACAACCTTCTGGGTGACCGGAGTGATGTCATTTGCCTGTGCAACACGAGGTTCCGTGTCACCGGTGATTGTTGCAGGCGTTTGGCGGCGTGTGGTTCTGGGTAATACAACGTCAAGACTCGGATTTGCCCTGCGTTTAGTTCTCGTGCTTCATTTCTCGTCGCCTCGATGCTCGCTACAATTTCATCCAGTATTACCATGTGGATCAGGTTGAAATATCTATCCACTCTCCATCCCTGCTCTGTGTCAACGTCGCTAGTGGTCCGCCATATTTTATATTAGGTATATTAATTAAGTTAATGGGATGCTGGTGATATGCAGTGTGTTAGTAATACAATTTTCTTCTTAATACTAACAATTTTTACTTAAGTCTATAAGGGATTGAAAAAACTAACATAGTGTAATTTTTATTAACTTTTGTGTGTGCGCTACTGTGCGTATGAGTATGCTGACTACTTTAATCTGTCGGGGATAAAAACTTGAATTAGTAAACTATTAAAAAAAAAAAAATGTTGCAATTAAGAGAAACAGAAAAAAACTAATTTTTCATTTTTCCTTTATTTAGTTGATTGTATTTATCTTTATTTATTTTTATTATATTTTTTTTTAATAGGGTAAATTTATTGTATCTTCATGTCGTCATGTGTAATTTTTATTTTTATTTCAAAGAAGGAAGAGAAGAAAGAAACAAAAAAAGAAAAATTTATTTGCGCACAGGCGTGAGTTGCAGCGTATCGTATGCCAAGGTGTGGGCTGATTTGCACTTAACGGGAGGTCCTTATTATCCTTTTTAGCCTGTTACAGCCTACTGGGGTAAGAACGACTCCACGAACCGTTGGGCAGCCGAACGCAATATTTGTATTTTGTCTTTTATTTTTGATTGCAAGGCCTTTCCAACGGAACACAGTGCCTAACCACACACCTCTATCAGCAAGTAACGCACTTGCACTCACACTCACTGCATGTTACTTTTTCGTTTTGTTTTGCTTTTTGTGCTTGTAAATGCCACTTGCAGGTCGAAGCTGCCAAAGTGGTTATCTCTTAAAATTAAAACTGAGACCACTTTCGATTATAAAATGTGCGCAAATTATCAGCGGGGTTTCGGGCCGGGTGGCGGGGAGTCGGACCCCTGACATGCACTGCCCACTAATATTTCTTAGCCACCGACCTTAGCTGAATGATTTTATATAACATTTTTAATAATTCAAATTGAATATCACCGCACGGCAGGGAGTCGAACCTCGACATTACACATCACAAGTGCACTGCCCACTAAAAATTTGCCGTCGGCTTTTTCAACTTTTTATTTCTTTATTTGGTCTGCGAAGGGAGTCGAACCCACGCATCTCTTAACATAGAGATTACGTACACATTTTCCACAGACTTTTTTCTTATATTATTAGCACACGCACAAATTCCTTTAATTCTTGAACACAAAGTTTCCTGTATTATTGAGTGAAATTTTTTCTCATTGCGTTGTATCGTATCATATTTAATTAATTATTATTACTATTTTTTTAGTACCTTTATTTTTATTATTTTGATTCGCGCGAGTTATGGTGTCTATGGCTTTTTTATTTTAAGTTGATTAGCTCTGTTTTCGTTCGACTAGTCGACTGATTGTCAAAAATAGAACTGACTGCAAGCTCTGCTTTTGCATCACTTGCCGCCGTCGTTTCGTTGTCTGCGCTGCTTCAGGATTCCAAGAACTGTTTATATTCTAATTCTTGGTAGTTTCTCTGTCAGTGTCGCCGCTGCAAAATAGTCGAGTACTTGCTTACAAGGCAAGACGCGTCTGCTTTTGGGGGGAACATCGACGGGTGCCTAGACATATGTAACTCGCGCAATACCGACGAAAAAGATTTTTAAACAAATTCTTCAAAACTTCCGTATCGTTGCATATTATTTAATCATATTAAAATTATAATTATTATCTTAATTTTTTATTTACGTATTTTTTATTTTTAGTCGCTTATATTTGATCGTTTTGCGCGCAACAAATGAAAAAAATTTCACGTATTATTTAATTTTTTATTTTTTATTTAGGGAATACTCGTGGCACTATATTTATATTTTTTATCCGCACAATTTTATAAACGAAGTGGTCCCTGCTCGGGCGCCAGTTAACGATCGTGACGCCTTGTTACTCTAGTGGCGACCACGTCCAAGGGTTATACTTATCGTTATTTAGTTTCCCAGATTCGGATAAACCAAAAGAAAAACAATCTCGGAATAGTTCGATTTAAATCGTTATAATTTCGCAATGAATTGTTAGTATTTGTCAAAAGTATCGTCTCGTCGAGTTCAGCTGCCAGCCACCGACTGCCCTTCGTCAGGCGGCGGCTTCTCTTCCTTTTCGTTTTCCAGGTCGACGTGGACGTCGCAGCAGCAGGGCGGCAACGGCCGCTGCCGAGACATGTTGGGAAGCAGAGGCGCCAAGTTGATGGTAGGGGAGAAGAGGAAGTGCTATGCATTGACTGGTGTTAACTTATATATACGCGGGTTGACCACCCAAGTCCAACGAGTTGTGATAGATATATGTCCGCCCATAGGGGACGTGGCAAACCGCAAAAGTTTATATCTCCTACAGTTTAAGAGCTAGAAGCTTCAAATACTGGATACTTAAGTTGCTGGTAGCCTCCTCTATCGATTCCCCAAAAATAATTTTTACGCATCAGGTAAGATACAGTCTGATTTGTAAACAATATTTATTATAGAACAAAAAGAACTGTTTAATTGCAGTGTCGGGCAGCGAATGCTCTCCGTATTTTATTCAAATAAAGTCTTAGCCTAAAGAATTCTGTCGCTTATAGCAGCGGCAGAATGGGAGTATATAACATGCTGTATGTGTGTGTATATATGTTTGTATGCATATGCAGAAGGCATATACATTTAGCGTTTAAGCTGCGGCGTGGACAAGAGCGTAACAATGCTTACGTTGCAGATCCCACGCTGCAGGCCAGTCTATACATAAGTGACCGATCATATTACGGCGCTTATGTATAGCTGTTATAATATAAGTAAAGCAACAAAGTGTTGCTATGTTGTGAGCATGATACTCTT